CTAGGCTCCAAGTGGTTGGACCGAACCTCTATAAATCATTGAGCAAGCTCTTCTTCTCTACTCTCTTTAATTTGGGTGTTGTGGTTGCAAAAGGGGAGAATTTTTAGAACTCCAATTCACCCCCCCTCTTGGAGTACATTGAGTCAACAATTGGTATCAAAGCAAGGGCTCCAATTTGAAGGTTTAACCACCTAGGAGTTGATTGGGAATGGCTCAATTTCTATCTTCTCAACCACTTGAAGGTTTGTCTACCACTAAACCTCCTTTCTTTGATGGTACTAATTATAACTATTGGAAGAATAGGATGAAGGTCTTCATGCTTGCAAATGTGCCCAAGGCATGGGTTGTGACTATGAAAGGTCCATATGTACCCATGAAAATTGTTGGAGAAAGGGAGGTGCCAAAGGAAGAGATAGATTGGAATGATGAGGACTTGGAGAAGATCATGATCAACAACAAAGCAATCAACATGCTTCAATGTGCTCTCAATCCAACGGAATTCCATAGAGTTTCTGGGTGTGATACGGCTAAGGAGATGTGGGACATGCTAGAAGTCACTCATGAAGGAACAAGCCAAGTAAAGGAGTCAAAAATCCATAGACTCATTTACATGTATGAGCTTTTCAAGATGAAACCGGAGAAGAGCATTCAAGATATATATACAAGATTGAATGACATAGTCACCAATCTCAAGGCTCTTGGTAAAGTCTATCCTCCTCAAGAAGTGGTGAGAAAGGTTCTTCGAAGCTTGCCTAAGAGTTGGGAAGCCAAGAAGACGGCAATTGAAGAATCTAAGGATCTCAACACTCTCAAGCTTGAAGATCTCATTGGTAAATTGATGACATATGAGATAGAAGTGCAAAATGATGGTGGAGTTGAAGTAGTTGAGAAGAAGAAAAAGGATGTTGCATTCAAAGTTAGCAACCAAAAGGAAAAGAGTGAAGATGATGCTAGTGATGGTGAAAACTTCTCCTCCTTAATCTCTAGAGAAGTGAGGAGATTTATGAAGAAGAACATCAAAAGCAAGCTTGCAAGAAGAGATGAAGGAGAATCTACCAAAAAGAGTGTGAAATGCTATGAGTGCAACAAGATGGGGCACTATAGAAATGAATGCCCCAAATTGAAGAAAGGTGAGAAGAAAGACAAGAAGAGCATGAGGAAGAAAGCATTTGCCGCCACTCGGAGCGATGATGAGACTAGCTCAACGGAAAGTGAAAGCTCATTGGAGAAAGGTGTTGCAAATCTTTGCTTCATGGCTCAAGAGGATATCAACAATGATGAGGAGGTAAACTCTAACTTTTCTAGTTCAATTAATGAAAGTTCCTTTGAGTATTCTTATGATGATTTATGCAAAGTTCTTGATTGCTCTATGAATGATATTAAGAGATTAGGGAATGAAAATCTTGCTCTTACTAAAACTATTTCATTACTTAAAAATGAGATTGAATCTCTTTAAAAAAAAAATGAAGTTTTAGTTAAAGAGAATGCTTCTTTAAATGGTGAGATTGCTTCTTTAAAGAATGAGAAAGTTAATGATGATTTAAGGAAGGAAAATGAGGATTTAAAGAAGAAAAATGAGGATTTAAAGAGAAAAACTTATGATCTTGAAAATGTGATTTCCAAATTTACTTTGAGTAAAGAAAAATTTGATTCTATCTTAAAATCTCAAAGAAATGTTTATGACAAAGGGGGCATTGGATTTGATTATTCTAAAAAGCAAAAGACTTTTAAGTTTGTGAGAATGATTTACCAAAATCCTTTTGGGCCGAAGCCATTGCAACCTCTTGTTATTTGTTGAATAGAGTTATGGTGAGGCCTATTCT